CCAATCCTTTCAATTAATACATTTTGTTTCAATCGATCAATTGCAATATTTTGAAATTTGCATATTTATTGTTTGACTCTTTGCAGACTGCTTTACAGGCAGTTCTCAGTTTTACCAAAAGTTTGTTATGTTTATATTTATTATGTCAAAAGATTCTGTTGTGGGGGACACAGAATTTCCGTCCTATTTTGTGGACAGAATGAACGTGGACAGTAGGCAGCCGAAAGGGTTCCACATTTCCTAATCACTCTCACCTCTGCAGAGGGTGGTTTTGTAAAATTCCCTTCTTCTTCAACCAAACTTTGAAGCCGCAGACAGTGGGTGTGGAGGTTAAAAAAATAGTATTATTTTTTTTGCAATGAATTAATGATGCCATCTATCTTCCTGCTGACCTATTTTAAGCATCTGTATTAACCCTGTTTTCTAAAGTTGATTAAATTAACGCCACAATTTAATTTGGCCAATTCTGCCCTAAAATATTTAGCTGGCAGATAGATTATGAAGAGAGCCTGAAGAATTTATTTTATGTATTTATAGATAGTCCTTGACTTACAACCATAGTTAGGCCTGGTATTTTAGTCACTAAGCAATGCGGTCATTAAGTGAATAATCATGTGATCTGACTTGATTTTACAACCATTTTTATCACAGTTAAGTGAATCCTGAGTTGGTGTTTGCCCAGGGAAGTTTCCGATTTGCCTATTTTTGGATCCTGATTGGTCCAGTTTTTGGGTGGGATCTTGGCGTGGTATAAGACAAGTAATCATACCTTCTTGTACAAGTAGTCCTCGTTTAGTGACCACAATTGGGACTAGGAACTTGGCTGTTAAGCAAAGCAGTTGCTGAGTAAAATCTGGGCTATGACCTTACTTCAGCTTCCTTTTGTTTTACAGACCTGCAGGGGTCATGAATGCGAGGAAGATTGCAAAGTAATTTTTCATGACCGCTGTTAACTGCAGTTGGTCACTAAATGGGGGAGTTGCTAAGCGAGGACCATTTGCACCTTTTTTTATTGGTTGCAAATGGAGGTTATTTCTGTAGCTTTCCTGGCAAGAAAAGGAAAATGAATTGACACCATCTTTTTCTAGGATTTTAAAAAAAAAATACTTTAAATAGATTTGGGTTTCCTGTCTAATTATGTTCAGCTCCCCACAACCCGAGATCAGAGGTCCCCAAACTTGGCAACTTTAAGACTTGTGGACTTCAACTCCCAGAATGGAGTGCCCACAACTTCTGAAGGCAGGCTTGTTCCATGGGTAAATTGTTCTGTCTGGAAATTTCTCCTTAGTTCTAGGTTGCTTTTCTCCTTGGTTAGTTTCCATCTGTTGCTTCTTGCTCTGCCTCCATCTGCTTTGGAGAATAGGCTCCTCATCGTTTCCTTTCATATTTACTGTTGTGAAGATACACTGGTCCATAATATTCACTGGTGATTATTCCAAAACCTGGCTTCCAACTTATGTCTATCGTCGTTTGGGAGAAACCTTATTCAGTACTTTCATTTTATTGGTTCACATTTTGGACAAGCTGCAGGTTATTATAGAAACTTCGCAGATGTTCTCCAAGAAAGACTACAGGAGAAACGTTTTGAGCCCCGCTTATTCTAAATTGCATTTCTGAAAAGAGTTTAAAAAAAACAAACACAGGATCATCACCCCACAGTTACAAGATCTTGCTTTAAGCCTGCTTTTATGAGGTGTGGACTTCAACTCCCAGAACTCCACAGTTGAAGTCTACACCTCTTAAAGTTGTCTAGTTTGAAAACCACTGTGAAGGAAACACGATTCCCATCCTTCTATGGAATCTTTTAAGGAAGATTCCTAGAGTTGCAATCAATCCTGATTGGAAAAATACCATCTGCGGGAGAAGGCCTTTAATAAACGAGTTTAGAGAATAAAATGGAATAGAATAGAATAATTGGAAGGGACCTTGGAGGTCTTCTAGTCCAACCCCCTGCCTAGACAGGAAACCCTACACCTCTTCAGACAAATGGTTATCCAACATCTTCTTAAAATCTTCCAGTGTTGGAGCATTCACAACTTCTGGAGGCAAGTTGTTCCACTGATTAATTGTTCTAACTCTCAGGAAATTCCTCCTTAGTTTTAGGTTGCTTCTCTCCTGGATTAGTTTCCACCCATTGCTTCTTGTCCTGCCCTCAGGTGCTTTGGAGAATAGCTTGACTTCCTCTTCTTTGGGGCAGCCCCTCAGATATTGGAAGACTGCTATCATGTCACTCCTAGTCCTTCTTTTCATTAGACTAGACATACCCACCCAGTTCCTGCAACCTTTCTTCTTATATTTTAGCCTCCAGTCCCCTAATCCTCTTTGTTGCTCTTCCCTGCACTCTTTCTAGAGTCTCAACATCTTTCTTACATTGTGGTGACCAAAACTGATTGCAGTATTCCATTATAAAGCGGTATTAACACTTCACATGATCTTGATTCTATCCCTCTGTTTATGCAGCCTAGAACTGTGTTGACTTTTTTTGGCAGCTGCTGCACACGGCTGGGTCATATTTAAATGGTTGTCCACTAGGACTCCGAGATCCTTCTCACAGTTACTACTATTGAGTAGTCACTATTAACTACTATTACATGATGGATAGATAGCTTTGCAACCAAAGAGATTGTTTGTTGATCCAAATTTGCAGCTCACCTGAGATGTTAACTTTTTTTTTTTTTTTTGCAGAAAAAGATTTGTTCCACTTGCTGTTTAAAGTGAAGCCATGCAAGACTGCTAATTATTTTCGTTTGCAAAGTTCAGGAGAAAGGGCTTCCCAAAATGCAAACGCTTTGGGAAATCGAGAGGACTAAAGGAAGTGATTCCTTCTCTATAATAAAAACTTATTTAGCCGTCCAGAGGACAGTTGAGGAAGAACAGCGTAGACTCATTTAAAGCTGATATTATTTCAGTTCTTTGGATCACAGCCCACTCCACATTCTTCGAGCTGCACATCATACGCTTTTCCTCTCTGGAAAATGTGCTCTTGCAAAACTTAGTAATACAAATTTCCAGCCAGGCCTGCCGCTTCACCATGTTAAATAGATAACGGCATTAACTTAGATACTTTTTAAAAGAATTTTGTATCTGTTTTCTTAAATATGCATAGATTACAGATAATCAGAGTTGGAAGGGACCTTGTAGGTCATCTAATCCAACCCCCCTCCACCCAAGTGGGAGACCCTACACCATTTCTGACAAATGGCAGTCCAATCTCTCCTTGAAAGTCTCAAGTGATGGCGTTCCCACAACTTCCGAGGGCAACTTCTGTTCCATTGGTCGATTGTTCTCACTGTCAGAAAGTTTCTCCTTATCTCCAGGTTAAATCTCTCCTTGTTCAGTTTCCATCCATTATTCCATCCTAGCTGCATAGGTGGCAGATTTTTCTGATAATCTGAATCAAAATCACATGAAGTATTAATACTGCTTTATAAAGCCTTAGTATGGCCACACCTGAAATGTTGCATCCAGTTTTGGTCACCACATTACCAAATAAAAATAAAAAATGTTGAGGCTTTGAAAAAAGTGCAGGGAATAGCAACTAAGACGATTAAAGGCCTGGAGACTAAAACCTGCGAAGAATGGTTGTAGGAATTGAGTGTGGTTAGTCTGGGGAAAAGAAGGAGTAGGGATGACATGATAGCAATTGTCCAATATCTTAAGGGGTTGCCCCAAAGAAGGGGGGGGGGTCAACTTATTTTTCAAACCATCAGAAAGCAAGACACGAAGCAACGGATGGAAACTAATCAAGGGGAGAACCAACCTGGAATTAAGGAGTAACTTCCTAACCGTAAGAACAATTAATCAGTGGAACAGCTTGTTTTCAGAAGTTATGGACATTCCATCACCGGAGGTTTTTTCATCCTGAGTGTTGGGCCCTCTTCTTCTACAGATAGTCCTCGACTTGCAACAATTCGTTTTATGACTGTTTAAAGTTATAGCAGCACTGAAAGAAGTGATTTACGACGTTTTCCTCACTTGTGACCATTGAAGCATCCCCCCCATGGTCACATGATCCAAATTCAAACACTTGGCAACTGACTCATATTTATGACGGCTCCAGATTCCTGAAGTCACGTGACATTTCTTTTGTGATCTTCTGGCAAGCAGAGTCCTTGGGGAAGCCAGATTCCGGATTCTACAAGGAACCATGGGGATGTGACAAACGTCTTAAGTCACTTTTTTTCAGTGCTGTTGTACCTTCGAACCCTCACTCAATGAACGGTTGTAAGAAGAGGACTGCTTGTTCATATTTTCTTTCGGGTGGGGGAGGGAAATAAATACCACACACACACACCCAATTTGGGTGTTTGAAGCAGCTGAAGGTTCTGACTGAAAACATTTATTTTTTCCTGTACAACTTTATTCTTTCTGTGGCAACTTCATTCTAAACGATAGCTAGCACTTCCGTAGGGAGGAAATATTGATTGCTCTCCACCAGCACTGGAAGCAAATTGTAATCCAAATTTAGGGGAGGGTATTATTGTTTTATCTCTCTGTGCCTTTCCCTTTCTTCCCCACCGAGGGATGGGGTACCTCTCCGAGATCTTGGTTACACCGCCAAGAGAAGGCTGCCATACAGGTAGCCCTCAACTTACGGCCCCAAACTTCTGTTGCTAAGCAAGACAGTTGTTAAATGAGCTTCACCCCATTTTACGACCTTTCTTGCCGCAGTTGTTGAGTGAATCACTGCAGTTTTAAAGTTAGTAACGCGACTGTGAGTGAACCGGGCTTTCCTCTTGTCAAAAGGTCCCAAAAGGGAGCCATGTGGGATACCGCAGTGGTCATAAATACGATTCTGTTGCTAAGCGTCTGGTCATAAGTGTGAAAAATGGTCCTGTCACTTTTTTCAGTGTTGTTGTAACTCTGAATGGTCACTAACTGAACCTCTGTAAGCCAAGGGCTACCTATCTATTTGTGCAGTGTATTATATGGGCCTTGAGGAGATGCCCCAAAGTTTCAGGGGTCGAATCTAATTTTTCTTTTCTTTTTTCTCTTGGCAGATGAGGAAGAAGTTCTTAATTCTATTATGAAGGATCTTGCCGCCCTTGGCAAATGCGGTGGATTTTTGGACAGCAACAGGAATAAGAATCATTCGAACAAACAGGTTAGAACTGGTCCTTCAGATTCTGCTCTGGAGTTCTCACTATTCCTACACAACGTCAAAGGGATTAGAAGGGCTTTTTTTCAACCTTGACAGCTTTTAAGATGGTTGAATATGTCATTGCCCAGAATTCTCCAGCCAGCTTTTTGGCCAAGGTTGAGAAACAATGGGTTGGAAGTTGATAGCATGGGGCTTACAGCCCAAAAAGCAGAATATTTATTTCATTTATTAATTAAATTTATATACTGCCCCATCTCATTATCGAAAGCTGGGTGGAATATGAAATAGACATATTCATTGTTGTAAATGAATGTGGTCCGCTTTAAGGGTTGTAGATTTCAGTTCTGGTCAACATGGCCACTTTAAGAGGGGTGGACATTAGTTCTGAATCAGAATAGAGCTGGAAGGGACCCTGGAGGTCTTCTAGTCCAGCCTGCTGCTCAAGCAGGAAACCTTATGCCATTTCAGACAAGTGGCTGTCCAATCACTTCTTAAAAACCTCCAGGGGTGGAGCGCCTACAGCTTCTGGTGGCAAGCTGTTCCACTGGTTAATTGTCCTCACTGATAAGAAGTTTCTCCTTAATTCCAGGTTGCTTCTCTCCTTGATTCATTCCATCCATTGTTTCTTGTCCTGCCTTCTTGGGCTTTGGAGAATATGTTTGCCCCCTCTTCTTTGATCAATTTTGATGAACATTGGCCACTTTTAAGATAGTTGGACTTCAGTTTAGTAGATCAATTTTGGTGAATGTTGCCATTTTAAGATGGGTGGATTTCAACTCCCAGAATTCTGTGAGTTGAAGTCCACCCATCTTAAAGTAGCCAAAGTTGACTAAGGCTTTTGTAGGTAATAGAAATTGTCTATAAAAGTGATCCTCTATTTGAAATAGTGATCCTCTATTTAGAAAGGGACAAGGAAAGAAAAGCTTTTCACTTTTAAATTTTTGGATCCCCTCCCCTCCCTCCCAATTTTTTTTATTTCTGTTATTTTGTGTTTTATCTTCCTTTGAAATGGAATTAAGTTGATTTAAAAGGAAAGATAGCTGACTAGAGAAACATACGGTCAATTTTGACGCGAGACAGTTACATAAGAGAAGAACAAGAAAAGAGAAAAGTGCTTTAATTTGATCCAAGCCAGTAATCCAATCTGAAAAATCAATTTGATTTGGGGATTATATCCAGTTGGTTTTAATTTGCATCTCTGAGTGCCCTTGGGTTTATAAGATCCTGCTGTTAACCCCTGTGGTCAGCAAGGACCAAGGTGCATAAAAAAATAAAAACGCTGACTTATTGAAATAATGCAGGTTCTAAACCAAAAACCCCATCCTTTTCTTCCCATCACTATAACAACATCTGCTTGTTGATAAAAACAAACACGTAGCTGCGCTCCAGGGTGTAACAGCTCTCTGAGTTGAATTCAACCCTATAGCAGCCTGTGCTGAAAAAATGATTCAAGATGTTTAGCATATTCACGAGGTCGCTAACAGCTGTCGTGCTGTCCAAGGAGCCAATAAGGCTTTGATTGACAATGGAAGTGCATTTTTATGGAAACTGATGCAGCAGGGGGGTGGGAGCAGGCAGAACTTGGCAAGCACCATCTTGGGATAACTTGAGAAAAGTTGGGGAATAGAGATTAGTTTTCTTATTCTTCTCCCTTCCCTTTTACTCTGTTCTACTCTCTTCAACTCTACTCAGTCCTTATTCTTATTCTTATTCTATTCTATTCTATTCTATTCTATTCTATTCTATCCTATCCTATCCTATCCTATCCTATCCTATCCTATCCTATTCTTTTCTGTTCCGTTCCATTCCATTCCATCCTGTCTATTCTATTCTATTCTATTCTATTCTATTCTATTCTATTCTATTCTATTCTATTCTATTCTATCCTATCCTATCCTATTCTTTTCTGTTCCATTCCGTTCCATTCCATTCCATCCTGTCTATTCTATTCTATTCTATTCTATTCTATTCTATTCTATTCTATTCTATTCTATTCCATTCCATTCCATTCCATTCCATTCCATTCCATTCCATTCCATCCTATCCTATCCTATCCTATCCTATCCTATCCTATCCTATCCTATCCTTTTCTGTTCCGTTCCGTTCCATTCCATTCCATTCCATCCTGTCTATTCTATTCTATTCTATTCTATTCTATTCTATTCTATTCTATTCTATTCTATTCTATTCTATTCTATTCTATTCTATTCTATTCCATTCCATTCCACTCCACTCCACTCCACTCCACTCCACTCCACTCCACTCCACTCCATTCTTCTTTTTCTTGATTTTCTTCTTCAAAATTTTTCTGGTCTGTATATCTTTTATTCCTTTGTTGTTGTTTTTTAAATCAATCAACTTATAAAATTACAGAAAAATGACAGGCAGAAGATTAGCACAACACATGCATGAATGCCAATTAGCTTTTGGAACACATGTTGAACTTCATGTCACATAGGTATAATTAACCAAAGTTTCCACAGGGATACTGTCAGCATCGTAGACCAAGCCAGGTCCCTAAAAAACGAGAGAATGCCTGGCACTCAGACAAAACAGCCATCATCAGGCACATAGAGGAGAACAACATTTGCACACCATTCAAAAGAACAATAAAAAAGTAAAAAAACAAAAAACGAAGAAGAAACAAATAGACCAGAATTTCAGCTTAACCAAGGAAATACTAAGGAGAAAAACCATATTGCTTCCGACACGGGGGTAATTTTCTGTCTCAGAAACTCTAGGCCACACCAAAGTTCAGCAAAATATTCAAAGCTAACTGTACTCTGGTAATGAAGCTGGCTTCTGTTCAATGCTGGTCCAAAAAGGACCGTGATACAAAATGGTTTTCCTTTCCCCTTCTCGTTGGGCCCCTTTTGTCCATGCTTGTTTTCCTAGCAAGCCAGGGGGAAGTTTTACCCAGCGCAGTTTTTCTGAAGCCTCACTCAAATTTCTCTTCTCGCTCGCTCGGCCAACTGCTGGTGTGTGTGTGTGTGTGTGTGTGTGTGTGTTGCCTGGTGTGTTTCCCTTGGCCCTCAACAAAAGGAGGTTACTGTTATTGTTTCACGGTGAAGAAAGAGGATGCAGCCAGTATGTTTCCTCTCTTGTGAGTCCGCTTTAAACAAGTCCATTTCCAGCAACAAATTGTTCCTAAACAGAGCTGCTCTGCTCCACAACAATAACAACAACAAAAATAGCATTGGGTCTTAAGGACTGTCTTCCCTTGGTTGTCCAACCGGGCAGAGAATGCAGGCAGGTTTCTTTGCAAGGCAGATCTGAAGGACGTCTCTTTACTTAGACCAAGGAGGTGGAACTGTGGCCCTTTTATGGCCTGTGGACTTCAACTCCCAGAATTCCTATTCCAGCTAGGGGAGCTGAAGTCCACAAGTCATAAAGGGGTCTTATTTCCCCACCTCTGATTTAGACCCTCAAGGTCTTTTCAGGAAAGCTCTTGGGGTAGATTAAATGAGGAGGACTGCAGATGAAGCCTATCACAGATGAATTGCAGGGGAAAAGTTTGGAGTCTTGTATTTCAAAATATAGGTATAATATAGGCATAGGAGAGGAGAGGAGAGGAGAGGAGAAGAGAAGAGAAGAAGAGAAGAGAAGAGAAGAGAAGAGAAGAGAAGAGAAGAGAAGAGAAGAGAAGAGAAGAGAAATAAGAATGGAATGGAATCTGGAAGGGATCTTGGAGGTCTTCTAGACCAACCCCCAGCTCAAGGGGAGACCCTATACAATTTCAGGCAGCTGGCTGTCCAGTCTCTTCTTAAAAACCTCCAGGGACCCCCACAACTTCTGGTGGCAAGCTGTTCCAAAGGTTAATTGTTCTCACTGTCAGAAAGCTTCTCCTTAGTTCTAGGCTGCTTCTCTTCTTGGTTAGTTTTCACCCATTGCTTCTTGTCCTGCCCTCAGCTACTTATATATTTTATAAATATATATTGGAGAATAGCTTGACTCCCTCTTCTTTGGGGCAGCCCCTGAGATATTGGAGCACTGCTATCATGTTCACTCCTAGTCCTTCTTTTCTCTAGACTAGCCATACCTCAAACCCACAACCATTCTTCATATGTTTTCTTCTCCAGGCTTTTAAATCATCTTAGTTGCTCTTTTCTGAAGTCCTTTAACAACTACAGTGGGGATCCGGATTTACGCTGCTAAGCAGGGGAGCTGTTAAGGGAGGCACATCTAGTTTTACAACCTTTTTTTGCTGTGGTTGTTAAGTGAATTCTTGCAGTTGTTAAACGAATGATAGAGTCATTAGGTGGCTCTGGCTTCCTTCCTTGATTCTATTTGTCGGAAGCCCCCGAGGAGAATTGTAAATGGGGATCACACAATCCCAGGACTGTCAGGGTCCAAAAACCAGAAAAACCACACTGTGCTGCTTTCAAGCCAATTTCTTTACTGTTCCTCACCTATTGTCTGTTTATCTTTCCATCTGTCTATATCTATCATTTATCATCTCTCTTATTTCTTTTTCAGCTATCTATTACCTCTCTCAATCTATCTATCCATCCATCTATCCCATCTACCTATCATCTATATCATTTATCATCTCTCTCTTTATCTCTATCTATTACCTCTCTCAATCAATCTATAAATTTATCTACCTGCCTAACATCTATCTATCAATCTATCAATCTATCCATCTACCTATCATCCATCTATCTATCTATCTATCTATCTATCTATCTATCTATCTATCTATCTATCTATCTATCCATCCATCCATCCATCCATCCCTGGCTGTCTATATATCTATTTCTTTCTCTCTCTCTCTCTCTCTCTTTCTCTCTTTCTCTTTCTCTCTCTCTCTCTCTCTCTCTCTCTCTCTCTCTCTCTCTCTCTCTATCTATCTATCTATCTATCTATCTATCTATCTATCTATCTATCTATCATCTCTATCTCTTTTTCAACTATCTATTATCTCTCTCAATCTATTATCTACCCATCTCTCTCATGGGTCCCCCAATCCCATGGATGTGACCCAATACCAGGCCTTTTAACTTTTCAGAACCGGGCTACAGAAGTGGCAGGTGTACATATGCGCATCTCCAGTTGCCCAAGCAATGGGAGAGCAGAGGTGCGCGTGCTCCATTTGCGCGAGCGGTGGATACGCAATGCTCGCTTCTCGTGCAAATGGAGCTGCACGCGCATTTGCCCACAGCTTGTGTGGAACTATCCCCTCTTCGTGCACAACCATCCCCTGGCCGGTCCAGAAAGCCAAAAAGGTTGGGGAACTCTGATCCATCTTGTAAGAATCTTGCCAAACTAAAGCATGCTACCATCCCTATGAACTCTGGGGACTATTAGGGAGGACCTGTCTTTACCCTCTTTCACTCACAGAAAGTGAATCCACAATAATGACCCAATTAAGTGACTCACCAAATTCAGCTGATTCCCAATTATTGATGGGAATCAGTTGAATTTGGAATTTTCGTTATAGTCATAGAGGGATAGAATCAAGATAACACGAGGGTAACTAGTAGCGCCCCACAAAATCTTAGTAAGGCCACACTTGGAATATTGCATCCAGCTTTGGTCACCACATTATAAAAAAAATATATATGTTGAGACTATGGAAAGAGTGCAGAGAAGAGCAACGGAGATGATTAGGGGGCTGGAGACTAAAAATACGAAGAGCGGTTGCAGGAAATGTGCATGGCTAATTTAATGCAAAGAAGGACCAGTGGAGACATGATAGAGTAGTGGGATTCAAAAAATTTTACTAGCTGTTCTGTGGATGTGTCTTGGTGGGCGTGGCAGGGGGAAGGATACTGCAAAATCCGCATTCCCTCCCCACCCCACTAACCTGCTTTCCAGCTCCGTTCTCCTGTGCAGGGCAACCAAAGAAGACCCAGCCGATCAGCTGGGACTCAATGGGAGGCAGGGTATAAATGGGGTTGGCAGGGCCAGTCAGAGGCGGTATTTGCCAGTTCTCCGAACTACTCAAAATTTCTGCTACTGGTTCTCCAGAACTGGTCAGAACCTGCTGAATACCACCTCTGAGTCATCAGATATTTGAGGGGCTGCCCCAAAGAAGAGGGAGTCGAACTATTCTCCAAAGCACCTGAGGGCAGGACAAGAAACAACAGATGGAAACTAATCAAGGAGAGAAGCGACCTAGAAATAAGGAAGAATTTCCTGACAGTGAGAACAATCAACCAGAGGAATAGCTTTCTTTCAGAAGTTATGGGTGCTCCAACATGGAGGTTTTTAAGAAGAGACTGGACAGCCACTTATCAAAATGGTGTAGGGTCTCCTGCTTCAGCAATGGGCTGGACTAGAAGACCTCCAAGGTCCCCTCTTACTCTTTTATTCTGGAATCAATCCACTTCAGCCAGTTCTTGATGCAGTTGACTTTACCGCCTTGGAAGGCGATCTTTTTAATATACAACAGTTTCACATAAATAGCCGTTGAACTGAAACTTTCTCATTGCCACAACATTATTTTCGGGCACATAGAATGGAAGCATGGAAACTGCTAATCATGTTCTGGATAAACCTCAAGTGAGAGATAAGAAGAGCTTTCAGGAAAAGGCGTCATCTGTTCGCCCCTCTAGGAATTCTCCTGTTTAGATACCAGCAGTCTCTGGCTGATCTTTCCAAACGATGCGCGTTCCCCAGTATAGGATACGCTTTTTCCATTCCGAAAAGAAGCCAGAGGGAGAAAAAGAAGAGAGAGAGAGATAAGGTTTATTTCAACACACACAAAAAGAACTTTAAGAATAGTGGCCCCACCTAATTCTCCAACCGGTTGTGGATTTTACGGAGCACTTTTTATGCTTCTGGTTTGCAAGAAATGGACACACGTTTCCCAAATTTCCTGCTTGGGGAATAGCAAAATGCAGTGGTGTATTTGTTTGCAGAGCTGCAGCTTTAGGCTTCATTGAGAGAAAGCAAATTCACACAGGATGCTAAATCATACCCTGGTTTGTTGCATTATGTTATTGGTGCGCTCGACCAGCTGATTCAGCACCAGAAAGTATTGTTTTAAGGGTTGCCAATGGGAGGAGTCTTCACTGGGCCCTGCAGAAATGCAAATTAGAAGATGGTCCTTCTCAAACGTTATCCTTATTCAATTTGGGAGGGTGGGCTTCACGATACTGCCTATACCAAGTAAGGAGAGGGGGCGATGGATGGATTGGAGCTGAGACTGAATACCTAACAGCAGGTACCATGAGAAGAACAGAAGGATTGTCTGTCTGTCTGTCTGTCTTTTTCTGCCTGTTTCCAGCTATCTCTTCATCAGCTATGTATTATCTCTCTCACTCTTTATCGACTGTCATCTATCTATCTATCTATCTATCTATCTATCTATCTATCTATCTATCTCTGTCTAACTATCTATCAGCTATTTATTATCTCTCACTCCATCACCTTACCAACTATTTATCCATCCAGCCACCCATCCATAGGTCTCCATA